GTAAAACCCTCTTTGCGACGCCGAAACCAGTTTTTTGGGCGGGATCCAGAGCCTCCGATTTTCTATTCGCCCTCTCTGTCTTTGCTTTCTCTCTAAGATCAGGTAGTTTCTTGGTCATGATATAGGGTTCCTAAGATTTTGAGGTTTAGGGTTTTACTTTAGTTTTTCTTTACTTCAGCTTTCCTCTCTTCTCTCTTTCTGGTTCTCTGGAGAATAAGTGAAAAGTAACGCGAAAATGGCCGAAATGTTGCTTCTTTGTTATATGATTTAGGGTTATGCCATTATAATTGGTTCATGACTTCTGTGTTTGGCTAAACGCATTTTTTTTTCTTTCCATTTTGTGAACTTTATATTTGTGCGATCTTGCAGGTTTCAGCTAAAGTCATCTGACATCTATTCGATGGCGGTATGTGAATGTTTAATAAATATTCAATACAGGGTGTTGTTTTTTGACGTTTTATTTTCAGAATTATTTTTATTTGATTTTGATTGGTGAATATAGGTCGAGAGAATTTTCAAAGATGAAGCTAGTGAGGAGAAAGGAGAGCGGGCTAGACTGGTGAGTTTTCTGCTTTCTGCGGTATTAATTTACGTGCACAAAATTGCTTGTAACACTTGCAGTTATTTCCCCCCCTTTTATGTCTTTGTTCAAGGGACATTCCAGAACAGACACACAGGAGAGTAAACAAATGTTGTTTTTCTGAGAGTGACTGACAGTTTATTCTTTAAAACATATGTACATGCTTAGATTGCAAGATTTTACTTCACTGCAAGGCAATGTTTGTTAAATAATAATCGGGATGGGATAAAATTATTGACTAGAAGCATATCTTTTATTCACATTTTCTCGATCCCTCGAGTTTGAGTAAGTATTACTCATTATTTCTTTACATTCTGTTGACCTTTCAAATTCCTTTGGGAAGAATGAAGCATTACACCTTAAACATACGAGTGGCCATCATACAAGATCTCCTTTTGTTTGATTTTGTGTGTACAAATCAAATATTGGAGTGAATCTTCTGTTTGGCATTTAATTACTTGTGTTCCCCTTTTCCAATTAAAAAAAAAAGGTGTTCCCATGCCCTTCTGAGATTTGCGACTGTCCCAACTAAGTTGAATATTGCTCAATTTTAAGTATAGGCAGTGTACGTTAGGCACATTCAATCTCGTTTTGTTGATTTGAATTTCAAATGACTATGGATAGAAGTTGACTTATCCCTCTTTGAACTTATCTATAATCTGTATTGTTTTAGGCGTCATTTGTGGGTGCAATGGCAATTGCTGACTTGGTCAAGACAACCTTAGGGCCAAAGGGAATGGTGAGTTTCTTTTACTTTCATGTGTTTCCAACTAATAGATGCATGCGTTTATACCATTAATTTTCATTTTCCTACTTGTGTTAGTTACTTTCTTGCGAATATATTTGGACAGGATAAAATTCTCCAATCAACAGGAAGAGGACATGTGGTCACTGTTACAAATGATGGTGCCACCATCTTAAAGTCTCTGCATATTGATAATGCAGCTGCTAAAGTCCTTGTCGGTATCCTAATAATTGCATTTTACATTAGTGAATATTCATGGTGATCATAACAGGTTGTAGAAATCTTCGTCCCGTTGAGTTATCGTTTTACATTTATCGACTTGGTCAAAGCCTTTGTTTGCAAGTTATATGTGTCTTAACTACCTAGTTATTGAAATTAATCATGACTGGTGGAAATAGATTTCATATCGCATTTTGTAATGATCTTTAATACACGAGTCAGATATTTCTAAAGTTCAAGATGACGAGGTTGGTGATGGGACAACTTCTGTTGTTGTTTTGGCTGGGGAACTCTTAAGGGAGGCAGAAAAGCTCGTTGCATCAAAGATTCACCCAATGACAATCATATCAGGTTTGGCCTAGGTTTCTGCACGAACATCTCTCTCTCTCCCCCTCTCTCTCACACACAGTGAGAGTATAAATATGATTCTGTGTTTTCTGTGGACCAAAACCTATACACTTCCCTTTAGCTTTATTTTCATTTCAGTATCTGAACTTGTTAATAGGTTCATATCTTAGCTTTACACTACTTATGTGATGCATGTGAAAAATGATGTATGTTTGATTGTCAGGTTATCGCATGGCAGCTGAATGTGCTCGCGATGCTTTGTTGCAGAAGGTTGTGGATAATAAGGCCGATTCTGGTATTCACTGCAGCTTATTATTTTGAATTTAAGTGCCGTCATTTTGGCTTCAGTGATTTCTCTTTTTCTTCTGTATCATTCACCAATTATATCTCTTCATGGATCAACTTTATTTTCACAACTGCTGATATGAGTTATTCAGGCGCATGATGTTTAGTTAATGAGTTCAATGTGCTTGATCTTGATGTATACTGCTTGCTGAAATTGCTTGGTTGTGCTTCCATTATATTTTCCTTGAGCTATTGTAATAATTGAAGACATCACTGGGTTGTGCAGAGAAATTTAAGTCAGACCTAATGAAGATTGCAATGACCACTTTGAGCTCCAAAATTCTTTCTCAGGATAAGGAACACTTCGCACAGCTAGCAGTGGATGCTGTAATGCGGCTAAAGGTGATTATGACTTAACATTTGGTAGTTAAGGTTCAATCGTCATGCTGCAAACAATTACTTTTCTTGTATCTTCATGTTGTTTCACAAGGCTGTTTGCAATGGCAGGGGAGCACCAACTTAGAGGCAATCCAAATTATAAAGAAGCCCGGGGGATCACTGAAAGATTCTTTCTTAGATGAAGGGTAAGAAGAGCAATGAGCATTTGAGCTTCTTATGAACTGAAATATTTTGGGATTTCTATAATGTAGTCTTCGAGATCTTTGTGTCTTTTGTTATCAATTTATCTGCACAGATGAAATGATCTGTAAATTTCTTTTTGTTCATTGTTTGGAGACATATGCTGGTTCGTATTTTCTCATGCATGTCTTCTTCGTTACTTCTGTTTTTCTTGTTCAGATTTATTCTTGACAAGAAAATAGGTCTTGGTCAGCCCAAGCGCATAGAGAATGCAAAGATTTTGGTTGCAAATACAGCAATGGACACAGACAAAGTAAAGATATATGGGGCACGTGTTCGTGTTGACTCAATGTCTAAGGTTGCTGAAATTGAAGGGGCTGAGAAAGAAAAAATGAGAGAAAAAGTGCAAAAGATAATAGCTCACGGGATTAACTGTTTTGTCAACAGACAGTTGATCTACAATTTCCCGGAGGAGCTCTTTGCAGATGCAGGAATACTTGCAATTGAGCATGCTGATTTTGATGGGATTGAGCGTTTGGCCTTAGTAACTGGTGGTGAAATTGCATCAACTTTTGATAATCCAGAGTCAGTTAAGCTTGGGCACTGCAAACTCATTGAGGAAATTATGATCGGTGAGGACAAGTTGATCCACTTTTCTGGCGTTGAACTGGGTCAGGCATGCACAATAGTGTTGAGGGGGGCAAGGTATTTTTTTATATTTGTTCCCTGCCAATTCAGTTCGGCATTTTAAACTTGGTTTGTGTGTTTCAAAACATGAAATGGAGTACAGTATTTCTCAATGCTTATCTTGCATGCAGCCATAGTTTAACTTTTTGTTCATGAGGCAGTTAAGACCTCATTAATTGAATTTTATTGATTGGTTTTATCTGCATCCACGCCCTTTGGAATCCCAAAATTTTGTTTGCATGCATTAGTTTTGTGACTTGTAATGGCAGGCAGTTCTGCTATTAGAATGTGATTCTCGTCTGACAGTTTTGTGACTTGTAATGACATGTTTGTATTTCTTTGGCAGTCATCATGTGCTTGACGAGGCTGAGAGGTCTCTGCATGATGCCTTGTGTGTGCTGTCTCAGACAGTCAATGACAGCAGGGTTTTACTCGGAGGTGGATGGCCTGAGATGATTATGGCAAAGGAAGTTGATGAGCTAGCCAGGAAGACTCCTGGAAAGAAATCTCACGCTATTGAAGCTTTCTCGAGGGCACTCTCAGCCATTCCTACTATCATTGCTGACAATGCTGGTTTGGACAGTGCTGAGTTGATTGCAAAGCTACGTGCAGAGCACCATAAAGAAGGATGCACTGCAGGGATTGATGTCATCTCTGGAGCTGTAAGTACCCAAATAAAGAAAATGAAAAAAAAAAAAAAACCGAAATAGGACATTTTAGGTGTATCTGATGCCTGGAAACCTCTTCAATCCGTTTTTCTGGATTGTCATCGTTAATTGATGCCTGACAATTTTTGACATTCTGGCAGGTAGGAGACATGGCAGAACGAGGCATATCTGAATCATTTAAAGTCAAGCAGGCTGTCTTGCTGTCTGCAACAGAGGCTGCAGAGATGATTCTTAGAGTTGATGAGATCATCACATGTGCACCTCGGAAGAGAGAAGATAGAATGTGAAAAGCTGGATAGAACAATTTGCCAGAAACAAATGTATTTTGACGTCTGCCCTTGTCTTGGCATAGTTTATGTATGATTTGGATGTTTATGTTATTGTTAGAAGATGGGATTTAAAGTTTTGGAGAAATGAGTTTTCGATATGGTCGTAATTGTAAGTGAGCACTTAATTTTGGATTTCTATCTAGTTTTCGTGAAGAAGAAAGCAACGGCCGGTGGGGTAGGGGGCTTTGTTTTTGTTTTCTTTTGCAGAGTATTAATTTCATGATTTCTCTGTTTTACGTTTCTCATCTCAACTATAACTATCATTCGCTGATTTATTGCTTTCGTTCTCGTGGTTGATTTAAGCAAACAACATTAACAAAATGACTGGATTGAAAAGGCACCGGATTGTCTTCCTCTCTGTTTTCAGGTGAACATATTTGTACTATATGTTTGCTTTTTTTGAGTTGAAAGTGAAACCGTCTTTATCACCAAAACGAAGTCAGTCCATTGAAGAAACAAAAAAAACAAAAACAAAAAAGTCAATCCAGCGCAGCGGTAATAAAATGAAAAAAAAAAAACAATAATATTTGATCAATGAACTCAGAACGCTGAATAGAGACGTTTGTTGAATGTGGTGACTCTGTCACTGTTGGCACGAAAGACGCCCCAGCTGACATTATCTTGTATCTTCCCAATCCTATCCTCCTTCTTACATTACACCCAAAATTTGCAAACAGATATAGAGTGTCGCGATGTCGTCGGATGCGTCGGAGTTCGATCCTGATCGTATCGAGTCTTACAAATTCCCTGAGGTACGCATCTCTTTGTTTTTCATGCTTTGTTAATTGCATTTTCTACACAGCTCTCAACTCTTGAATTAATCTACTTTTCGGCTAATTTTTGTATAGCGATCCACTTTGCTTGCCATCATAGTTTCTTGTAACTTTTTTTCCCCTTCTTTTTCTTTGTGTCTCATGTTGTTGCATATATTGATTTGGAACGTCAGACGACTTACACCTATTCGGAGAGGTACGCTTAAGCGTTTCTATCAGATTCAGAGCAGTGTTTTTTTTTTTTTTTTTTGGTGTGGTTTTTTTTGTAAAATCATGGAATTACCTGGCCATTGAAATGTTTAGTCTATACTCTTACCCTTTGTAAATTGGCAGAGATGTAGCGCTCTATGCGTTGGGTATTGGAGCTTGCGCCCGGGATGCTGTGGACGTCGACCAACTTAAATTTGTTTACCATGACAAGGGCCAGAAGTTTATCCAGGTGTTAATGATATAATCAAGTTGCTTTTTCATTGAATCATCATTGGAGTTATTTCGTCTAGTAGAATCATTTGAGATAATTGTACAAACATGCTGCTGCGAGCTGCGTCTTTGTTTGTATTTACAAAACATATCCATAGCATAAATAATGTTGCTATTTTCACTAGGTCTTGCCAACATTTGCTGCTCTGTTCTCGCTTGGATCTCTGCCAGGTGGTTTAGGTCTGCCCGGGTTGAAGTAAGTCTAGATGATAAGGCCCCGTTTACACATTTCATGTGTAATGCTTGAATTTACACTAGCTTGGTGGTTCACGAAATTCTGATTTTATTTTTCTTTTGCTGACTGGAATTTCTGGTTTTTGTTGCCACCAGATATGATCCTCGTCTTTTGCTGCATGGACAGCAATACATAGAATTATACAAGCCACTTCCTTCAAATGCTTGTGTATGGCTTTTACTATAAGCTGTATTTTATGCCTGAACGTGCAGTAGCTCTGGCTTCTTTACATTGTGAACCTTCTCTAGAATTGCTTAATTTTTCTACCACCTGTATGTAATAACTGGTCAAGTGCAGTAAGAGTCTCTGCCCAACCGACATGGCTGCCAAAAAATTGCTTAATTTTGGAATGAAACTGATTCGTTGCTCATTAACCTTGCTTTTAATAGCATTTTGAGTTGTAGATAAAAAAAGTAGCATCCTAAGTTGATAGTTTTTTTATATTTCTTTTAGTGATTACTTTGTTGTGAAATCAATTTTTTTTAAAAAAAATTATTATTTTTGGTTTTGTTTATCGTCCATTTGTTTCTTTGAAGAGAGAATAAGTTTTATTTTATGTTACTTTTTTTTTTTGCAGTTAAAAAATACTGTGAGTCTTGCTGGACTCCATGATAAAGGTTTGTGTATGTTAGCAGAAGCATATTATTATTTCAGTAACTTGCAGAATCATATGCATGCTAGTATGAGGAAGTTTGACTTAAAGGTTCTTTGGAGAAATATAAGCAAGATGCATGGTATCTGTTTGATATGTTTATATATTACATGAAGGTTCACATCTGTTATATGAAGTTCCAAATGAAGTCACACTTTATAGAGATAGGGTAAAGAATCACACTTTAAAGAATCACTATCCTTTCTTTTTCCAAAGTGAAGTCACACTTTAAATAATCACTATCCTAAACCCTTTGTTTATAGAGATAGTAATGCTATAATTAGTTTTTTTGTTGTTGTTAATTTTCTTGGCAGGTAAAGCTGCTATTCTTGAGATTGAAACAAAAAGTTACGACAAAGATTCTGGTGCATTGTTATGCATGAATCGGTAAGTACTCATTTGAGATAGCTGATCTAGTACTGCAATACAATTGACACAGCTGGGGTGTTTCTTTCCAGGACAACTGCCTTTCTGAGAGGTGCTGGTGGCTTCTCAAAATCATCTCATCCATATTCATATTCAAACTATCCAAAGGACAAGGTTCCATCTGTGAAAATCCCAAAAGGTCAACCTTTTGTAGTGTTTGAAGATTGTACACAACCATCTCAGGCATGTAGCATTTATTTCATTATTGCAAGAATGAAAGTCATTGTCTCATACCTCCTAGTTTTAGTTAAGTATTTTCCTTGATCATGCTCCTATTTCGTATGGCATTTGGTCCTTTTTCCTACAGAATTAAAAGTGGTTGAGTTCTAACACAATGCTGCTTTGTCAACCTATTTCCCAATTGGTGATCACAATGCTGCTTGTATGCCCAGGACTCGAGTAATAGGCAGCTATTAATGGCTTGTGCTTGCTTTAAATCTAAAAATGCATTTTCTTTAAATAGCATATTCAAGATAAACAAACAGAGTAGTATTTTATTCATCTTTATGAGTGATGAACATGTTCAATTTATGGTTTGGATACATTCAGTTTTTATATAAATATAACTACATAGAATCTTTTGACCTCTTTATGACTTTCTGCAGGCATTGCTGTATAGGCTATCTGGAGATTATAATCCTCTGCATTCAGATCCTACATTCGCAAAAGTTGCAGGGTTGGTTTCCCACTTAATTACATAGATGGGCTTTTGTTTAAGTTTTTTCTTTTAATTTTGTGTAGGTCATAATCCGCCTTCAGATCCTATGATGCTGTTTTGTCTCAACATGCTAAGAGTCATACTGTAGCCAACTAATACTGCGCATTTTTTCTTCATTACCTACAATAACTGTGGCCAATTAATTTCTTTGCCTGGTCATGTTTTCTCTTCTCATTTGCTCAGGCTTTGCCGACTTAGATAGCAGTATACTTTATATAGTTCTGAGTCAATTGTATTTGAAATGAGCTATGTTTTACTTGTTCTGGTTTTTCAACTTTCATTTGTACCATAGATCCAAAATGAACCCAAAATTAAAATTTATCTAACATCTTTGTATTGCATTGTCAAAGATTCACACGGCCGATACTGCATGGCTTGTGCACACTTGGATTTTCAGTTAGGGCGATTGTGAAATGCATTTGCAGAGGAGATCCAAACCTGGTCAAATGCATATCAGGCCGATTCCTTTTACATGTCTACCCTGGTGAAACTTTGCTCACTGAAATGTGGCTTGAAGGCTTAAGGTAGATTTGTGTCTCGTTCATTGGCCTCTGTGAATCATTTATTATAAACCAAATCGAGTTAATGTTAGTGTTCAAATATGCAGGGTCATATATCAAACAAAGGTGAAAGAACGAAGCCGGACAGTGCTTTCTGGATATGTGGATCTCCATGGTTTATCTTCGTCGCTGTAAAACACTTGTTTATTTACATACGTATTTTGTACTAAATAAGCATATGAAACGTCTCTGTCGTGTATTGATGCTGTAAACAATAAAGGAAATATTACAGGGTTGTGAACCTTTTACTATCAATTAACACTTCTCATGTCCCAGGAAATAATAATGAGGTCCCACAAACAAAAAGGGAAATATTCGGTGTTTACATTTAACAAAAATAAAAAATAAAAAATGATTTAAATTTTTTTAGTATTTACACCTCATTTGGCATACTAATAGTAATTCACTTATTATGTATTGCAGAAAAATTACATAATTATGAATTATAAGGTCCTTTAGATGATTTTAGAGGACACTTCAATATGTATTTATTTATAATTTCCAGAGGCCAATATAAAATTTGGAGTTTGTTGGGCTTTTAACATAATTTTTCTTTTTTCTTTTGGTAATTAGCTTTACTTTAGCTTTTATTTATGGGCTGGTCTGGTGGTACTCAACCCGGACATTTTTGCCCTTTCCATTCAAGTAGGGCCGCAAATACTCTTTCTTCTTGTAATGTTCATACAATTTACAAAGCTAGGTGCTTCTATCAGATACGCGAGTTTTTGGCATAAACGTTAAAACTGAGTCTTCGTCTTTCTGACAAGTACAAATCTTTGACTGCGCTTAGGGCTTTTCGAAATGCCAAGCGACACTGAAGAGGCTTCACAGCCCACCGTTAATGGCGACAATGTACGAGCTCTCTGCGATGTGGTCCGAGAGTTGCCCATTCGCGCCGTGATAGACTTATTGTCCATAGGGGTGATCTCCGTTACCCTAATTTTTCTCTTCTTGCCTTTTCCTGTATTAGTTCAAGTGTTTCTTTACGTTTAGAACAACGCTTAGGAATTTACTATATATGGAGTTTATTGTAGTGGTAGCCAATTACGGTTCTTCAAATGTCATTCCTTCAGATTTTTTTGGGCTCATATTCTTCTAAAGATTGTTCGTACTGGATTATGTTAAACCTTTTGCATCTGTATTGTTGAGGCTCGTTTACTACGGGTAGACGAGTATTCACCTTCTAAGTAGATGCGGCTAAAATGTCCTCAATAGATTATTAAAATGCTTTTGAAATTTTCAGATTAGATATAT